GTTGAATGAACCATATTCTCGTAATCATTAATGAAGTCGGGCAAATATTCTATGTGAAGGATGCTGCCGTTGAGGATACATTTCAGCATATCTTCTAGAAGCTTCTAACCCATTTCCCTGCGACAGACCGTAAACGTAATGCATATCAGCCATTTCCTCATTTGTGTATGTCATTTTAATAACAAGTGAATTATTAAAGTAACAAATTATGAACAGAACAACAATACACAATTAGTATTAATTCAATTTTAAAAATTTACAAACTGACAGCTTGATTTCAATGTAATTGTCAGTATCGCTAATAGCGGCCTACTAGATAAATTAGTTTCGTATTTTCGTTTTATGACGATATCTATCTTGTTCGTAAAATAATTTTTTGCTGCGAACTGGTTTATTTTGGGCAAAAAATTCAAGAGACATTTTTTGTTTAGAATGAAACAGGCTATCGGAAATAAAATTTTAAATGGTAAACAAATATTAAGACAAAAAGTTACGTTGGAACGAAATTTTAGGGGTTGCGTTTTCGACCTCTTACAACCATGGGGTAAACTAAATAAACTGGCTAAGTGTCTTTTGTAAACTATGTTAATTAATTTTAAATGAAATAAATCTGATTTTAATATAGAATCGAATTTAATCGGTGTTAAGAATAATAGTACATAAAATGAAACGTATCGAATGAATGCCTATCAAAGAATGCCGTGCTAATCACCCAATATTCTTATGTGTCCCAGTTCGACGTATCGTTCTACGAAATATGAGTAGCACTCGTGAATCATGACAGGGTGGTCATAGCCTAGCGATAAACGAAACATCCGAGTGGTTACACTTTTTGGTAGTAGAAAATGTCAGGTTAATTTCAATATTGTAACTTGTTTAGTGCTTGTGAAAAAAATTGTTTAACAAATTTTATATACCCCCTTTAAGGGGCTGTATCTTAACAAGGGATGCTCCAATGAAGTTTCTTTATATAAAAGATCCTATCTTTTTTTCGATGAGAAATCACCCCCTTAAATGTTTTACCCTTATTTGGTTACACCCTGTATAAGAACATCCGAGAATCAAAAAGAGTATAATTGATTAAGTATGATGCCATCTTGTTGTTTTATTAATGTCTAAAAATAATGATAAGTCATGATAAGTCACGATAAGTTTATGAAAACCAATACCAAGAATTAAAACGAAATTCTTATCGTTCGCTCAACGTAGTCAAAAGCGTTTCTCAATTTTTCAGTATTCTATGCCCAATTTTCAATAACTATTTTTACGGCGCCCCCTACCTTTCTTTTTCATATAATAATAAAATGCGACGTACATTATACAAAGTCCACTTAATGAAGCATGTTGTTAATGCCCTAGTACTAGATTGTGGGCCTAGAGTCCTAATATGAAACTTAATTACAGACCTTCAAAATTACCGAGTATAGGTGAATTTAGTGGAACTTGGTAATGCAGCTCCGCTACATCTTATGTAGGTAAAGCGTAAAGCCAGAATCGATATTTCTCATCTGCTCTCCGTTATTTATGACGGTTATGGAACATTCTCGCGGCTTATCGTCGCTACGAGAAGTTTCAACCGTGGTTTTGATTTGTTTGCAATAGTATGGAAGATTTGCTCGACAGCGGAGCAAGCGTGTATAAATGCTGCGGCTGTTAGAGGTTACGGTCCGTTTAAGTCATGAAGTTAAAATATAAGGAGGCGCTACAAGCATCTTTTTCAAAAATTCAAAACGGTATCACTGGGCGTGGCTTACGACGACTCAAAATGGCCGATCTGCCAAGTACGGACTATTTTGAATGCAATCCAAACCAAGTTATATTTATTAAAAAAATTAAAACGGATGATTAAGGTTATAATAATTAATTTTCAGTGATTTCACTTATTAACAAAATAAGTTTTATGAAATAATAATAAAATAAGTTTCAAAGAATAAAAAATGTGTAAGTGAAAAATTTTCGTATTTTATAGAATAATTATAAAGATCAGAACTTTCATTTGATGTAATATATTATCATGGTTTAACATAACTTTAATGTTAGACCGTAACTGATCTAACATAAAATAATCAAACAGTTGTTAAATAGGTAGGTAATAATAGAAAATATATTATGGCAAAATAACAAATTTTATGTATCTGAAGTTCTAAACGATTTTTTTTAAACGAAAATATAAAAAAAAAATTCAAGGATTGGCTAGCATCTCGCTAGAAATCATCACATAGCTTACCTGCGGTTACCAAAAGGTAAACAAAATTATATTTTGCTGACAAACCCGAAATTAACCCCTACACTTAGATAAACTCACCCCGTAAAGATGTAGAAGCTACAAAGAAACATAATCAGGGGTAATATCGTCCTAGAAATTCGAGATAATCTTCCTCGTGCTAACCAAAGGCTAGGAAAAAATCATTATCGACGTAGGGCCACGGGAACCACCCCTTTATTTAAATAAACACCCTTTAAAACCTAAAAACATTCAAACAAGCCTAGTATTAACCTGAAAATTTATAATCTCTATCGTGGTACCTTCAAGCTTGAAAAAAATCATCATCGACATTAGGCCACGGGAACCACCCCTTTACTTGAATGAACACACCCTTTAATTAAAAAATTCAAAAAAATTCAAACAAGCCTAGTATCGACCTGAAAATTTATAATAATCTCTCTCGTGGTATCTTCAAGCTTGAAAAAAATCATCATCGACATAGGGCCACGGGAACCACCCCTTTATTTAAATAAACACACCCCTTAGAATCTAAAAAAATTCAAAAAAATTTAAACAAGCCTAGTATTAACCTGAAAATTTATAATAATCTCTCTCGTGGTACCTTGAAGCTATAAAAAAATCATCATCGACATAGGGCCACGGAAACCACCCCTTTATTTAAATAAACACACCCCTTAGAATCTAAAAAAATTCAAATAAATTCAAACAAGCCTAGTATCGACCTGAAAATTTATAATAATTTCTCTCTTGACACTTTCAAGCTAGAAAAAAATCATCATGAACATAGGACCACGGGAACCACCCCTTTACTTGAATAAACACACCCTCTTAAACCTTAGACAATTCAAAAAAATTCAAACAAGCCTAGTATCGACCTGAAAATTTATAATAATCTCTCTCGTGGTACCTTCAAGCTTGAAAAAAATCATCATCGACATAGGACCACGGGAACTACCCCTTTACTTGAATAAACACACCCTCTAAAATCTTAAAAAATTCGAAAAAATTCAAACAAGCCTAGTATCGACCTGAAAATTCGTGGCAATCCCTCTTGTGGTACCTTGAAGCTAGAAAAAAATCATCATCGACATAGGGCCACGGGAACCACCCCTTTATTTAAATAAACACACCCCTTAGAATCTAAAAAAATTCAAAAAAGGGCCACGGGAATCACTCCTTTATTTGAATATTTTTAGATTCTGAGGGGTGTGTTTATTTAATTAAAGGGGTGGTTCCCGTGGCCCTATGTCGATGATGATTTTTTTATAGCTTCAAGGTACCTCGAGAGGGATTGCTACGAATTTTCAGGTCGATACTAGGCTTGTTCGAATTTTTTAAGATTTTAGAGGGTGTGTTTATTCAAGTAAAGGGGTGGTTCCCGTGGCCCTATGTAAATGATTTTTTCAAGCTTGAAGGTACCACGAGAGAGATTATTATAAATTTTCAAGTCGATACTAGGCTTGTTGGAATTTTTTTGAATTGTCTAAGGTTTTAGAGGGTGTGTTTATTCAAGTAAAGGGGTGGTTAGCGTGGTCTTATGTTGATGATGATTTTTTTCTAGCTTGAAGGTGTCAAGAGAGAAATTATTATAAATTTTCAGGTCGATACTAGGCTTGTTTGAATTTATTTGAATTTTTTAAGGTTTTAGAGGGTGTGTTTATTCTAGTAAAAGGGTGGTCCCGTGGCCCAATGTCGATGATGATTTTTTTTAGCTTGAAGGTGTCACGAGAAAGATTGCCACGAATTTTTAGGTCGATACTAGGCTTGTTTGAATTTTTGTGAATTTTTCTAGATTCTGAGGGGTGTGTTTATTTCAATAAAGGGGTGGTTACCGTAGCCCTATGTCGATGATGATTTTTTTCTAGCTTTAGGGTACCACGAGAGGGATTGCCACGAATTTTCAGGTCGATACTAGGCTTGTTTGAATTTTTTAAAATTTTTTTATGGTTTTATAGGGTTTTTATTTAAATAAAGGGGTAGTTCCCGTGGCCCTACGTCGATAATGATTTTTTTATAGCCTTTGGTTAGCACGAGGAAGATTCTCTCGAATTTCTAGGACGATATTACCCCTGATTATGTTTCTTTGTAGTTTCTACATCTTTACGGGGTGAGTATATCTAAGTGTAGGGGTTAATTTCGGGTTTATCAGCAAAATATAATTTTGTCTACCTTTGGTAACCGCAGGTAAGCTATGTGATGATTTCTAGCGAGATGCTAGCCAATCCCTGTTTTTTTTTTATTTTCGTTTAGAACTTCAGGTACGTCAAATTTTATAGTATAATAGATATATTTAGGACTGATAGAGATGACACTAATAGTGAAAAGGAGAGAGGTGGGGGTGTTTTGATAGTCACTAAAAAGGAACTAAATGTCAAACAGCTTTCTATATTTAAAAATATATTATACAAGTTACCTTCTAGTAAAAAATAATACATATTTAGGGGTGCGTTTTAACCTATGACGGTTTTAGAAAACTGACATTTTTAGGGAATGTAGTCGTGAGGTACCTGATTAACTCCCACTTAGTCAGAATGTGGTACAACGCATCATTTTCTCGTAAAAAAATAATTCTCTCGTCTATAATATTACCTATAGTCCTCATAGGTCTTAAAAATCCGCACAGCTAGAATATTATGTGATACAAAACGCTGTAGTTATGTAAAATTATATAGATATATTTTTATGTTCAATTTATTTAATCTCATTGTATAGATTCAAGATGGCGCCGAGTGCACAACTGTGTGTGTAGTGTGCTCCAACAATTTTATAGTCAATGCCAAAAACATACAATGCGATTATTGCGCAAAGTTATACTGGGTCTTCATCAATACCGAAAACCCACGTGACCAAATCGTCATGACAGCGATTGGTGAAAATAAAAGTAAAAATCCCTAAATTTGAGCCAGTGCCGTAGGTATTTTATTACAAATAGATCTTCTTTTTTTATGGTCTGCAACTACGAGAACAAAATTCAGTTAGGTAACTGTTAGAATTACAACACAAATTCATAATATTAATTAGAGGTGCTTTACATTATTGTATTTTAATGTTAGAATTCGATATTTTAATTAGATTTAATCAAATTCAATAATCTAATTTTTAAAATTATGATATAAATAACATAACCTTAAAAACTGAGCTATTTATATCTAGTTTGTATTTAACGAAAAGAATAATAAACTGAAATATGGTTCGTACTAGTTATTGTCACTACTACAAAAAAAAACCTTTACCAGAACAGGGCACAAAAAAGTTATGGATAAAAATGTTATGCATTAAAATATGAATAAAATTAAAAATTATTTACTTTAGATTGACTCTTTAAGGGCTGATTCCACCGTTGTGTTAAACGGAGATTAAAATGACATTGTTAATGTAAAAATGTCATTTTAAACTTCGTTTAACACAACGGTGGAATCGGTCCTAAGATATTTAGCTACAGCTGAAACTCTAAATACGATAGGCAGAAGACAATGGCAGTATTTGGCAATTATTGCAATTTAAGTAAACAAATTTAAGACTTACTGGAATTGAACCTGGATAATGGGAAGTAATAAACACATAATTTAAGTTTGTTCTATTATTTATTTGTTACAGGATTTACAAAATACATTGTTACTTATATGCATACAAAAAAATATTAATATTATTAATATAACAAGCACATATTTGTTTTACCTTACAGCTCTTACTTCTCACTTTAAATTATAAAGGCATATCTATTAACAACTATTTTATTTAAAAGGATATTGAGTAGTAATCGGTGGTGCACAAACTAATTCATACTAATTCACAGTACCTATCTGTTTAAAATCTTAATCACCAGCTTTAATGCAAGCATTAAACCTTCTTTTTTGAACACATTATGTAGTTTCTCCTCAGTTATATTTTGTATATCATTCAATATAGGTGCTCCAATTCATAAACGTCACAAACGATTTTGAATTGAGCGATCTGTAATATTCCATATGTAGTTTTAACAAAATTAAGGTAAAATGATTGTTGCAGTACCGAAACTTTATAGGGGATGCATTATCAGAATTTTTTTTAACTTTATGGCTAGTTCGTAGTGATGAACCTAAAAAAAAAATATGTTTCGAATTTCACAGTTCATATCTGTTTGAGGTGCTGTTTTTTATACTAATTTATTGGGAATTTACAACATTTTAATTTGCACATCTTCAACAGCTTTTGTTATTACTTTAGGCATTTTAGACCTTTTTCCTTTTTTGAACAAGTATTTGTTTATGACGACAAAAAAGAATCACATTCCATTTATTCACCTGGAAAACGTTCCTCAAATTTTCGAATAATTTTGTTCCAGTATAACATTACCTACAATAAATTATATAGTCATTAACTTTTACGAGTTACAGTAAATAAATTTGTACTTACCAACAAAAAAGAAGCCACCAATATTCTCTAAAAATAACTAATTGCTTTATTAATATTAAATGAAAAATGGACTAAGGGTGTTTATAAAATGTAAACAAATATAATATAAATATTGTCAGTCCCCAAATGAACGCCAGTGGCATTTCTGACAGGATTGACAGTTCAGTTTAGTTCCTTTTACGTCAAATCAGGCCCTTTCGATGGGTTTTTGATGGTTATCAGATCACGTGGGTTTCGGGTATTGTTGAAAACCTGGTACCATCAAATGTGTGTGAAAGTAAAAGAGCAGGTAGCGAAAACCAAAACTGATAACATCAATTTTAAGTGGTTTTGTGACCTATGTTTTCAAGAAGTTAATTCCAAACTAAAAAAGCCGGCAGAAAAAGCAATACAGGTAAATAGTACTAAAATTTTAGAAAAGGAAATTGAACTATTAAAAAAAATATCAAATGAAAAAGAACAAAAATATAATTTAGTTTTGGAAAATAATTCACTGTTAAAACAAAACATTGACCTTCTCCAAGATAACATAAAGCAACTAAAACAAAAAAAGGAACACAACAAAAAATTCGAAATCGAAACAACAAAGAGGTCAAAATCAGATCAAATTCAATCAGCTGTTAACACCTCACGGCAGGTACCCGCAACGTTGCCAACTCACCCAGGATTTCAGGAGAAATCTTCTACAGCATTGTCAAGTCCATCAAAAAATACTAAAAGCCCCGTAACGGTACAATGAGATCTGATGAATGATATTATAAATCTAAATAACTCTATAGATAAACAACCAAAACCTGAGAAGGAAAATGATCATGATTACACAAAAGTTACACATAAAAGAAATAAAAACAAGAAACAAACAAAAAGAACCTATGGTGAAAATGAAGCAAATAATGATTTCGGAGTGGAAAAAAAGGCCTGGATATACCTTTTACAGAGTACAGCGTCATGTAACATCTAATAAAATAAAACAGTATCTAGATAACCAAGATGTTTTCAAAAACTTCAATATAACAATTAGGGAACTACCAACTGAGGAATCCCAAAACAAATGTTTTATGCTTGGCTTTGATTTCAACTTGAAAGATGAGATATACAAACCATCTACCTGGCCTAAATCAGTTGCCTACAAGAGATTTGACTTCAAGAAGTACAACCATTATCAAAATCGTAGTGAGGATTTTTAAAAAACTCTCCACCTAACTTAGAAGCTAAAAATGAAAAGCTAATTACTTATTTCCACAACATAAGAAGTCTACAAAACAAATTGGATGAATTACAGTTAATCCTTAATGACTTTTAGGAGAAACCTAACGTAGTTTGCTTAGCAGAACATTAGTTAACAGAGACAAATATCAATCATTTCCAGCTAGAAGGTTTATATCTAGGAAGCTACCATTGTAGGTCTCAAAGTGAACATGGAGGCGTGTTAATCTACATCAAAAATGAACTTAAGGTAAAGCTACTGCCAATAAATAACGTATCAGTTGACTCTCACTGTGAGTTTACAGGAATCAAAATTTTAAATTTAAATGTTACTATTATATGTATGTATAGATGCCCTTCAGGTAATGTAAATCTGTTTTTTGAAATTTTAACCCAAGTTCTTAAACATGTGTATTGTCAAAAAAATGTTTCTATCTTAGGTGACTTCAATATTGATATTTCAGTTGATAGTAACTTAAAAAATGATTTCATTAACTTACTGAGATCTTATAATTTTAACTATTTAGTGTCGGAACCTACCAGAATTATTGTTTTCTGATATTTGACGATGCTAAAAACTGCTGTGAGTTTATTTAAGAAAATAAAGTATATTCTATTCTATATTCTATATTATTATAAATTTGTCTCGTTGTCTCCCTCATTAACGAGAAAAAGAAAGAAAAGTATCTAAATGAAAAATTGTAACTACTCAAAGTATTGATGAATTTAAACAGTGTAAACTTCTCTTTGTGGAGGGGGGTAAGCGCTGATATTGGGCACCAGCGCTGGGCGCTAACTTCACACAAGTCTGTATATTGCAAAACGCTCTAAAATGTGATGTTCGAATTAAAATCCTCTAAAAAATATCAAACAATTAATATTATTATGTAACAGTTGAATTTTTATTGTGATTTATTGATTTTTGATTAACACATGTAAATAAAAGTAAAAGACAAAAGTTTTATCTACCCCTTATTTAACATTGTTTTCTTCATTTCCATAAAAACCATAAAACCGTTTTATCGAGGTAGGTTACATCAATGACTAGGGTCCATCGGCACCGCTCGTCGTTATTACCTTTACTTAAAAAAAAAAACAAAAAAAAAAGTTTCTTAACGACCAGTGATGCAAATGGCTCATAGTATTTGTTTGTTTGTTTTAGTTTTGTTTATTATAAATATATACATGTGTTACTCCCTATAAGATTAGATTACATTCGCAGGCCTTTGAGGAAGAACAGCTGATCAGGACCTTCTGACCATATTTATTTCTGGTACTATAATTTTTTTAAAATTTTATTTTATTTTTTTTAAATATTCAACAAATATTATTATAAAAATTATTATTAAATGTGTTTGTGTTGTCTGGGTATATAAAAAACTAGTTATAGGACGGAGTTAAACCTGAGGACTCCCTTATTCAGAAGGTCGAGTAGGTTCTACACAATATATCAAATTCCTATTTAGAACATTTAACCAAACATCATTACGAAAAATGCGGAGTAATTTTCCCACTTTTTGAATCTTTTTGTAAGTATCTAACTAGACATTGTGACCAAAGAAGACAGAAAATGGCGAACGAGCACCGGTATCCGATGTATCTTTTTTAACCCTTCGTTAGTGTACCATAAAAAAAATACATAATAAGTGTTCCGGGGTATGTGATACCCCACAAACAAAATCACTTAAAATATTGTTTTTTTTTTATTTTCTTGATTTAATTATCAAATGTGACTTTTTACTTGGTCTTGAACCAAATAAAACAAAAAATATCGGTAGCAGCAGCTTTTATTTAAAATAATATTATTTTTGAACAAAACATCAATTATAATGTTCAACGAAAAAGCACAGCTACTCTTGAAACTGATATTGGTAACCTACATACTACTATATCAAATTGAAACATATGTTTTAAAAAAATATCTGCAAAACAAAATACAACTTAAATTAAAACATTATTATTCTAAATAAAAAAGTTATAGTCTCTCGAAAGTGGCACAATTTTCGCAGCTGAAAAACGCGTGCTCTAAGCACAGTGGAGTGTCACACTGCATACATCCATAAAAGGTTTTTCTGTCCTTGTTTCTTGGACAAACGGAACATCTAGTACTTGTCCTCCGTCGTTTTGGACCAGGTTCATGATGTTCCGCTGGCTCCACCTCTCGTAGTCCTCGACGTAAATAGGGGTTTTGTACTCGCTTAGTTCTAAACTCTGATATTAGTTGCATACCAAGTTCTTTCAGAAACAAACGTCTTTTCAGATTATAATTTTTCGTGTTCTCTTTATATATTACCTGAGAATTTACTCCGCCGGTGTTCAAGAACGAGAAAAACATAGTAAGAGGCCAGCGGCGACTGTTTCTTGCTACACTGTAATTGGCAGATAGTTCATCCAACGTATCAACTCCGCCCTTTGTAGAATTATAAAAATCGATAATTTCAGGCAATTTTTTATCACCAGATTCTTCAACTATAGTATTATCATGGTGTAAAGTAGAAAAGAGAATGACATTTTTAGATTTTTTTGGAACATATGACACAGCCGTAATATCCTCTTTGAAGACAAACATTGAACTGCGAGGTTCTCTGGTTCGTATGTTTAGAAGATCTAATGGTATTTCCCTTTTATTTTTTCTGACTGTCCCAACCGATGTAAGCTGATGAGTCTCTAGTAGATTGATCATCAGAGGGTAGCTGGTAAACCAGTTATCGAAAGTAATATTCCGTCTTTTTCCAGATACTGGCGCAATCAAACGTTCAACTATGTCTTTTGGGCTGTTACTTGTTTGGAAAGGACCTTCTGGCTGTCTACCAACGTATGGTTCCATGTTCAGGCAATAGTATGTCTTTGCGTCAACGAGAGCGAATACCTTTAACCCGTATTTTGCGGGTTTATTGGGGATATATTGAAGGAACGACACCCGTCCTCTGAATGGCTCCAACTTCTCATCAATTGTTAGGTTTTCACTAGGCGTATAATGTCTCTTACAATTATCGACTAAATGTTCATATACACCCCGAATTGCTGCCAATTTGTCAATCTCTTTACGATGTGCTCGGGTGGTGATGTTGTCAAATCGAAGTGACTGTAGTAAAATATAATATCTTTGCTGTGACATAGTTGTACGAAATAAATCAATACCACTACCGTCAGTGTTCCAAAGATCCGCAGTATTTTGACGATTTGCCTTATATAATCCAGTCAAATAAAGTAGGCCAATGACTGCTTTAATTTCTGCTTTATCAGTAGGTTTTACTAGGTACTGATGTCTTTTATCATACCTAGGGGTTTTAGTTGCTAATTTTACATTTGTGTAACGAACAATATCATCCAACAGTTCTTCTGTGAAAAATAGTAGCCAACAATCAAGAGGTGTTTTCTTTTCTCGTGCAATGCCTTTCACACCGGGTAAATGAATTATTATATTTTCTGATCTCGTTCTTACGTTTCGGGTATTTGGAAATTTTGACCATTTTGTTTTACACTTATCCAAAAAATACCTATTATTATTGGCAAGTGCATCATTTTCAGAGTCTTCCGCTTCTACAATATTTTTAGGCAATACTTCCACTTCCTCTTCTGACTCCTCTTCCTCGATTTCTATGTTTATTTCCGCTTCTAATTCTTCTCCTTCGGACTCACTACCTACAACAGGTTCATCATCGTCGGACAACCCACCAAACTCTTCCCATAACCTCCTAAGCCTTCGCTGATCTTCTTCGTATGACATATTGCTAAAATGTAGCACAGTAACAACTAATCATTCAGAAATAAGGTAAAAAGTCTCATTACTTACCATTCAAAACGATGTACACGCAAAGTTACGTAAATAGTGTACCGGGGTATGTGACGCCCCGACTGTCTTCGCCGAGATCTAGAGAGGCTACCACAGTTGTATTCTTCCAAACTATATATGAACTAAAGCTATCGGCCGCTAGAGGTCTCTAGCTTTTCTAATTTTAATTGTATAGCTGCAAATAGAGGTACTGGGGTATGTTATACCCCGGAACACTAACGAAGGGTTAAAATTCATTGTATTAATTTGAGAAACACTCCCACAGAAAACCGGTGTGAAGTTAGCAGTAACTTTAAGCAGTAAAAATAACCGGAAACACCCGATCTGGAAAACAGTGGCTCCGTAATACAACTATTTTATTCATCTTCTCAATTTTACACATTAATATCGACACTGTAAGCAAAAATCCCTTCCGACCCGTCAAACAGGGTGAAATTAACCTTTAAATTTTAAGATAAATAACCCAATGAAAAGGATCAGATCCCAACTTGGTTTTACATTAAAAAAAACATAAATGCACTCATCAAAGTACACTGTATGCTAAACTTCCTTCCAACTCGTCAAACAGGGTGAAATTAACCCCTAAATTTTAAAATAAATAACTCAATGAAGACGATCAGATCCCAACTTGGTTTTACATTAAAAAAACATAAATACACTCATCAAAGTAAAATGTATGATAAAATCCCTTCCGACCCGTCAAACAGGGTGAAATTAACCCTTAAACTTTAAAATAA